TATATATATATACGTTAATAAACTAAAGAAAATTTTATTTGATACGAAACGAATAAAATTCTAAGAATACTACAATTTTGCTTTATATTTATTTCAATGCATTAACATTATAAATGTCTGTTTGATATAGGTATATCATCACTGCTCTATGCGACTCGTGCGAGAGCGGCGAAGTGGTGGTAGCGGTGGTGTTCTGGGTAGGCTATTTCAACAGTGCTTTGAATCCGTTGATCTACGCTTATTTCAATCGCGAGTTTCGCGCAGCCTTTCGCAAAACCCTTGAAAGCTGTTGTCGCGCGATCGGACCGGTGCGCGATCTGCGCCAGGTGCATCGCAAACAGGACCTCGTGCACAGCAACGCCTCGTCCGAGCTGCATGTCAACAATCAGTTACGCAATAGCGAGATGACCAACGTCCATATTGAGGCGTGTATTTAAATGGATCACGCGATCCGGCGAGGTGAAAGTAACGGCGAAATCCTCGGAGCGCCTTCTGAATAGAAAAAAAATAGGTAAGACCGAATTGGCAAGTAGTACTGATAACTCTCAAAAGTAACAATCACGCAGATAAAAAAATTAATTTCTTTCTTTTCCTATATACAAAAATGTTTAATAACTCGATAGTTATCATATCATATAAGAAAAGTATATTAAAAATTCAATTTGAAAAAAATTTTTATGTCGATGAAACAAAAAAATAATTGAAATTTTTGATCAACTTAATATTATGGAAATATTGGTATTCACTATTGCCTTTTATCTATGTCTTATTTTTATTGTCTTCTCTGATTATCTTTTCGAAATAAGATTTGAAAAAGAAATTCAGGGATATATAATAAAATATAAAAAAGAGTAAAAAAGCATTTTAAAGAATTTATTATTGAAACTAAGACTGTGGCACGCAAAGAATTTATCATTAAAATTAAGATTGTTCTAAATTCATTGAAGAAGTCAAGTAATTAAAGTTAAGGTCATAAAGAACGCGACGTCATATATTTGCATCAAGCATTCGCAAATACCAAATACGATTTGCAAGAGAGAAGTGTATAGTCCCACAGAGAGTGTGAATAGAGTATGTGCGCCATACTCGTGCCTATTTCGTCCTGCTACCGACCTATTTTAAGGGACACGTTCACCGCTCGTCCCCAAGGGGTCTATTTCTGTCACGGCAGCGTTCCATCAGGTCCGTAAATAAGGCTCCTGTCCGTTGGCAGATTGATGTTCCGATTCAGCAGTAATATTTTAGCGGTGGTCCGATAACGTCGAAATGAACTTTCCAACTAACATTTGATTCGTGCGCGAACTTCTATTTTACTCGTGATTAACATCATATATCTATCTTTGCAACAAATTAAATTTCTGTCTATCTGAACAAATAATATAGTGAACACCAATACAATACTATAATGAATTATAAATACAATATGTTAGCAAGGTTAAACCTTTGAAACTTGTGTATAAAAAGGTTATTTTCATTCTAATTAATTTTTCATTCTATTATTTTTATTTTTAATTACTTATATATTTTTTGTTAGATTAGCCGAAAAATTAATCTGTAAAATTAAAAGTTATATGTGCGCTTAAAAAAAGAAAGATTTTTTTTTCTTAAAAGAGAAATTAGTTTAAAATTAATCGAATAATTTATAAGAAAGTATAAAAGGATTAATTAAAAGGATCTGGTGGTTTGAGGTATTTCTGTAGACGCTGTCTCGTGATTGGAGGAAAAGCAAAAGAAATAACAAAAAGACCAAAGAAAAGGATTGAAAGGCGAGAGATAAAGCTGTTCTACTCGTTTAGGGATCACTTTGTACATAATTGCGCTACGACAGCGTGTTTCGTTATAATCAAAGGGATTTATAATAACGAGCTCTTAGCGTTAAACGAGATATTGTAAATACGAATCTGCGTTTAGAAATAACTTCGTGTATAAATGTTAAAGCCCTGAAATGTATCATCCTTCCCGCAAGACAAATCATTTTATCGAAATAGATAAATTTATGAGGGCATCTTAATAAAGAGAAATACTAAAATGCCAAAAATGAAACAGAATATATTATTATATATATATA